GTGGATTCTTACTCAATGTCCCTTTCTTGAGTTTCCAAAGCTGTAAGTATTAGGAGGGGGACACTTCTCACCTTCCTTCTGCACAGGCACTGCAGGTTCCTCTACGGAGGTGCACTACTGTTTGGCAGGCAACACAGTATGTGACAACTCTGAAAACTTCTCAGGAGTAAGCACTGAAGGTTGGGTCTCACACCAGGCTCTGGCCAGGCCTAGGCAACCTCATCTCTCTACCTAGAACAATAAACTGGTCCAAGCCACATGAGGGACAGAAACCAACCACCAAAAGGACATTTTCTCCCATTCACCCTGGAGTTGTAGTCTGGTCATGAAGGCTGCAGGTGAAAAAGCATGATGGAACAAGGCAGCAGAGGGCAAAGAGAGGCTGGTCAAGGACTCAAAGTTGGCAGGAAGCTAAGCAGGGAAAGACGGGAAGAGAGAGAGAGAGGAAGGAGGGTCATGAGAGCTGGAGCAGATGGGGGATGAGCAGGGCCTCCACACAGGGCTGGCTGGGCGAGGTGACACACAGAGAAGGGTCCTCAACCAGAGAAAGAGGTAGCAGGAGTTGGATCCCCACACAGGACAGGCAGTAGGACGGCAACTGGTATCAGATAACACAAACACCACTCATACCCTGACAAGCTCTGCAATGATGGAGCAGAAAATTAAGTGCACTATACACATGCCAGGAAATGTCCAAGGCATCCAAGAGGCATGGATGACAAGGGCAGGCACATGATACTGGTGCTGATGCTGAGGCTTGAGGCCCAGTCCCCGACTAATGTTCATTTTACATTCTATATGATGGTTCTCTGGAACCTAATAATTTCAATAAATGAGGAGTGGGTGTACTTCTTTTCACTTTTGAGTAAAATGATCTATTCCTTTCTTAAGTCTCTTGAAAATTTCAAATATAGCTTCTATAAACACATTAGGAAGGCTTGGTTAATTTAGTAATGTTGTTAGGTGCCATCGAGCTGTAGATGACTCACAGAGACCCTATGAACTGAAGACCTGAACACCTGTATAACTTTCATCGTTTCTCCACATTCATAAAGTTTCTGGAGGCAAATTATTTCAGAAGTGGATGCCACCATTGTTCATAGGGTCATTTATAAGTCATGCTCAACTCGATGGTACCCACCAACATCAACAATTCTCAAGCATGTATTTTTAATAAAGGAAGGTAAACAACTAACATATTTATCATTGATGTATGTAATTTATGACTTTTCAAATGCTTGCTAGAAACAGATGACAGATAGATAATAATTCAACTGTAGCCTGTCCTCCAAGTTTTCTTCTGAATATATGTATATTAGTTACTTGGAGTGGAATTAAAAATTACAGATGGACCACTGAAAGTGTTTCGAAAACTTTTTTCAGTGATAGAGCAATGGATGTATATGCTATTTTCAAAACAAGGTCTCTATGCTCAAACTGTGGGTGTGTCTAAGAGAACAGGGTTCAAAATACGTGGCAAAATTCTGTCCTAGTGCCGGGCTAGTCACTAATACACAGCACACAGCTTTCCCTCCCACGCTCTGTGCTAGATACTTGCAGATAGTATGTCTTTCAAAGTTTGTCCTCAGAAAGATGTTTCAAGATAGCTATTATTTTATTTTTTAAAATAAGGAGGGGAGGCCTCGTCTGCCTGATCTTTGCCCATGATTTAGAGGTACATGAACTCAAACACAGATCTGATTCTACAATTCCCTCTGTAGTTTACACTACAGGTCACCTTCATGGAGAAGACACAATTAACTTCTGTCCCAGGGAGGGCTACGAAGGCTGGGCTATAAAATGTAAGGATAAAGTGAGGGAGAGAAATGACATAAGGAGAGATAGTGGATCACTTTTGATTCCATCGCTGGACTTTCCTTACCACTCTCATAAACATGAGTGTTCCACGGCTGCAAAACAAATATTTATTGAATAATTAAACGCATAAGGATATTTGTAAATTGAAGAATTCATGCAACTTAGGAAGTTGACAAAAGAAAAGCAACAGTGCTTATTTTTATTTTAAAAAAAGGCAGAAAGGATACAAATAAGATAGAGACAAAAAGGAAAAAATACCACATAATAAGTTTTATATAAATTGAGGTTTCAAACAATGAATTTTCTGGGCGCTATTCTGTAAAGCACAAAAGACGATGACATGCTAAAAAGAGTTGGATGAGATACTGAACTCAGAAGTACTATCTTTCACTTCTACTGAAAAGTCAAACTTACTCAGTGTTTGTTAAACTTTCCAGTCAAACAGTGAAAGGAGTCATAGGAACTTGATAAATATTTAAATGAGCATCAAGAACATGTTTAAACATTTAAGAGTTTTACCATGGAAATGTTGACAAATGTCCGTTAATTCTCCTAAAGACTGCCTGGGTTCCACGTAATCAGAAGCTAACAGAGGTGTGAGCAACTGTGATTACCACATACATTTTTAAGCTGAATAACAAATTCTGGCATCTGTGTTGGACAGAAAGAGAACAACACTCAGGAGTTGTTTCACTGTTGAACTGAGCCATCAAGAAAGGTGGTGAGGGGAAAAAACAGGTTGTGAAGCTGCCATCGATCAAATTCTTTCACAGATCATTCCTGATCCATCATAAATGGTGTCAGGTCACCATTCCAAATTCTTGTTCTGATTCTACTTTTTTTTAAAAGTTGTTGATCTTACAGTAACAGTCAGGACTCTGTGGAAGGGTGGCTCATTACCTCATGTCTCAAACAATAGCTTGTGGTTAAGAGGTTTCATGTTATACAACCTGAGCCTCTGTTGCTATCAGATGCGCTACAGGGCCTTAAGAAGTCAAAGGAGAACAAATTCTGCTTCAAGACGCAACAACTTCAAAACCGTAATTACCACCAAAAGCGATACATAGAGAAGATCTGACTGGATCTCTCAAATGTCCTAAGATATTAACACTATTTTCTACATTTCACAATAGAGGATCTAGGAAGAAAGGCATAAAGCAACCTGCAAAAAAATCCTCCAATAAATAAGTGCAAAATTAGAATGTGAACCCAAACAGTTGGAAGCAAGAGCCCATTATATTCTATAATATTTTCAAACTGTCACTAAAGGCAATGCTGCCTTCTCCCCTTCATCCCATCAGAAAGTACAAAGGCTATTTGGCAGCTAACAAAAAACTGGTGAAAATCCAGAAGCAACTGCTATTTGTGCATCTATAAAGGCAAAAATATGTCTTCCTACTTTTCTCTGAAGAAATCAAGTCTGCCTTAAAAAAGGAAAAATCACCCAATATATATTCCCTTGACATATATGAACTTTCTGCATTCAAGGGACATCCAAAATATTAAAACCTACAATTTGGCTCTTTATTTGCAGAGAAAAATGTGTAACTGACTTGAGAAGGATCAAAAGAAGGGTTTGCTCAAAGATTTCTCTAACTCAGAGACAGATATTTCTAGTTTAAGGTTTTTATAAAGTCACATGCCAGAATGTAAACATTTTTGTCATCAATATCAACTGAATAAAATATTCATTAAATTAGATGAGTAAGAGAAATTTAATTCAAAAGTGAAAAATCTCATCTTGAAGGCCAACATCATTCTCTTTTCCTTCTTTGTAATAGTTCATAATGCCAACTATATTTCTAAAAAATTCTTCCCGAAGAAATGGCATTGGATGTGCAGCCATGTGTTAATATTTCATCACCTCTGGCTTTACTTACTTATTCTCAAGTCACTGGCAGAGCTTTCAGCCCGACTTGAAGAGAGGAAAACTTGCCTACACCCTCAAATTTGCCAGATGAGATTAAACGATAATACCTTTTTGGAAAAGCAGCATTTTCAAAAGGCCATCCACTCTAATTTTAAAGAAAGAATCCTCTAAATAGAATACATATTTACATGTACAAGTAAACCCTTTCCCACAGTAAGGAGACAGAACACTTGCAATAAGGTGGAAATGTCAAAAGGTGTATGTATATTTTTTCCCCTCCAACTCTTAAAGAGTGTTATAATAATAATACTTTAAATACATTTCATCCAAAATCATGTGTAACATTGTGCTATAGTACACAGAATACAAACATTTGTGTGTATCATGAATAACATTAGAAGTGACATCATAATAATCAGATATACTGTATCTTCATTTTTGTTTGCATTATATTTTCCAGCTGCTGGTTTCAGAAAATTACCATTGGAGTTCCTCTCCTCTTCACGCACAGCAGAGAGCAATTTGCAAAGTCATGCAAGGGTGAAAATGTGATTGAAATATAGGGATCTTTCTTAATGAAAAATGTTACTGCATTGGAAATTATGGCTTAAATTCTTTCAAAACTCGCTTCTCTCCTGAAGTCCTATGACACAATGGTCTCCTCTTATATATACAGCATCAGTTGTAAATTATTTGGCAGCACATGTAAAGTTTATTTTCCACGGTTTCTACAAACTTATGAACATAAAATTATACTAGGGCTTTGGAGAATTTTGATCACCCTTTTTAACACAATGATAAAATGGCAAGATGTCTTGAAAGCAAATTTAATTTTTATTCATGAAAATGTTTAAAACTGCTGCCAAAACCATAAAAGGAATGTAGCTTTTGGTGTGTTCAAAACTTCCAAAAAGACACTGAGGTTAATCTAATGATTTACATTATACTTGACAAAAAAAATGATAGTTAAGTACTAACTGTTTTCTTCTTGTTTATAAGCCTTGAAATTGTACCCACTTTGACCTTGGATGTAGCTCTAAGAGATTTCAAGTCAAAAACAGAGGAAGCAGAATTCCCTAATACTTATACCTCGGTTGGTATGAAAAATAAACAAGGATGGGGACTTTAAATTGTAACACCTTGGTAAATAGTGTTACTTAAAGTCTCAAGTACATGGTGCACATGTGCAAGCACGCACCAATAAGTCAGAGCTCAAAGACTGTACATTTGACAACTTAAAGTTGGACAACGCCCATGTGAGTTGCTGCCGGCAGCTAGAGATGGTTGTATTCTCTTATTTTCTCTGTCTTACCTGGTCCGTCCCAGTCCTCAGTCTCAATTCCAGGCTGACCTGGCTTCTCCAATTGTGTGTCTCCATCTGATTCTGCCATCTCCTGCATTCCTTCATCATCACCTGGAAAAACACCAACGCAGAGAGAAAGAAATGATTGAAGCTCCCTGGCATTCAGTCTTCGTAGAGGAAAGCCCTGACAACATGTCTAATCATATGTTTGTTACATATATTATGATTGGACTGATACATTTCAATGACTTATCAGTTTTACACCTACTTGTGGCTTTATAATTATGAAAATCCACTTTTAGCTATAAGCACATTTTAAAAAGTGAACCCTATGAGCAATGAAGAACATTTCCACACAGATTTTGTCATTTGGAGTTACTGCAATATATAAATGTAAAAAGAAAATTATATTGGAAACTTTTTTATTGCTTCTTGTTCAGAAATATACTACAAATCTAATAATGCTAACTTTAATGCTGAAATTCAATTTTAAAACAAAAGCAGTAGTCTTTCCCTGATGTATCCAACAGCCTTCCTGCATGCTCCACAGAGATACTAATATAGCTCTTGTATTTCAATTTTTATATGATTCGGGGGGAGAAGGACTTTTAAAAGTCTTTCATAATAACATAGAAAATTTTTTAAAAGTCTTAGGAAACCATTATGATGATGATGATGATGATGATGATGATGATGATGATGACGATGATGATGTTATTGCTACTGTATGAAATCAAGCCAGAACCAATTAATAGCTGACCTATAGGTTTTGAGAGGGTGCAAATCATATGGGAGGAAATTGCCTATCCTTCTCCCCTGGAGCTAATGGTAGATTTGAACCATGTGCCTTTGGGAGTATAGCACAGCTTCTTATCAGCCAATAGAGTTCCCTGAAAGGTCATTAAAAACTAAAAAAAAAATTTTTTTTTAATCCAACAAATAAGAAAAAAAAAAACAAAAAACAAGCCAAGCACAATCCTTTCATTGCTGTCAAGTTGTAACAAACTCATAGGTAGACACCCAGCAAATTATTAGAGACTATAAATTGCATGGAACGAGACTGCTTGTTTTTCTCCTATAGAGCTACTGACGGAGTCAAACTACCAGAGTAGTGTGATCGCAGGATTAGCAGTGCAACTCCCTCTGCACTACACCACCAGAGCTCCCTATAACGGGAATGCATACATGTTAATTTGACTACTGAGAAAAGACTGGAAACTTACAGAAAGATCTCTTGAACTCAATTATCTTAATATTCTACTCTTACGGATCACAAACAGTGAAAACACACACACACACCCCTAAGTAGGTCTGTTCCAGGGAATCCTATGTCAAGAATGGAAAGTCCCTGGCAATTCAAACTGTCTCTTGTCTTTAGAATGGTCAGAATAAACAGCAATGAAAGCTTTTGCAGAAAGTATTTATTTTCTCCTATCCTTAAGGAATTATAGTAGACATGGTAGTATATAAGGAGAAAAAGAAAATTCTTTTTAAAAATGTGTATAAACTACAATACAAAAGCTCAATGGTAAGAGAAGATTTAGTCTTCTGTGCTCTTTCTAGCTGGTCACAGAGAAGTCTATCAATTTGTTCAGATTCCCAGGGGGTAAATAAAACCAAGGATTTCTGCATCAGCAGTTGAGTATTTACATAATGAGCTACAAAGGTCTTTGAAATAAGGGTACTCTCCAAATAACAAGTATTCCTTAGCCCAATCTTGCCGGCCCTGTCTCTCCAATCCAGAAACTAAAGGATCAATGTCTAACCCACAGTAAATTTACCAATCCCTTCTGATTGGTAAACCAGAAAGATATGTAGCCTAGTGTGTAAGGAGTTGCACTGCCAAGCCAAAGGCAGATGGTTCAAACCCACCACTTGCTCTAAAAGAGAAAAAAGGGCCCTCTCGTTTGTTTAGTCTCTGAAAACCTGCTGGTGGGTCAGCTCTGAGTCAGTTCTGACTGGAGGCAAATAAATCTGTGATTTTTTTTTTCTGACTAGTCAGATCTCTAGATACATCTGCCCAACATTTTTACTATCACTTTTGCACTTCATAGCTCCTAGTCTAATGCCACACAGTTATCAGATTGGTATAAGCAGAATTATAAAATTCTATCTCAGGAAGACAACCAAAACATCACCCCCACCACCACCCTCATAAAGAACAGACAAACCCCTCAAACTCATTGTTATTGAGTCGAATCAACTCTCAAATGATTCTCCAGCAAGTCTCCAAGGTCATAAATCTCAAAGACGGAGATTGCCCATCTTTTTGCCTGTAGAGCTGCTAGTGGATTCAAACTGCCAAAAAGCCAGGGCCTCTGTGTTAGCAGTTCAACTCCCTGTAAGATGTGCCACCAGGGCTCCCGACCATCTGAGTACTCATTATTTTGTCTTTGATCCTTTAGGAAATTAAAAAATGTGTGGCACTGGCAAAGTCGGCTGTCAGATACTTCTTCAAAGTGCTGGAGAGCAAGAAGGTCACCTAAAAGACTAAGGTGCACCTGGTTAAAGTCACGGTCATTTCAATTATTTGCTGTGCATCTAAGAATTGGGCATTGACTAAAGATGACAGAAAAAGAAAAGTGCATTTGAGTTGTGGTGCTGTAGATGAGGACTAAATAGCCCATGGACTGCCAAGAGAATGACCAGGTATTTCTTGAGAACAGTGTGGCAAGGATGTTCCTTAGAGGGAGGGAGAGTGAAACTTTATTTCACATACTTGGGACATGTTGTTAGGAGGTGCCAGACCTTGGAGAAACACCTTATGTTTGAAAAAGTGGAGGGTCAGTGACGGAGGGAAAACCTTCAACAAGATGAACTGATACAGTGAACGGAGCAATGGGCACTAGTGGGGCACAGATGATGTAAATGCACAGGAGATGGCGGGGGCAGGTATGATGTCCACGGGCCGCTATGAGTTGTACTCGAAGGCGTCTAAAACAACCACCTGCTTTAATCTACTCCCCTCTTTCTCTGCTCAGCTTGGTGCCTCCTGGAGGCTAATTTCTATGGATTCCTTCTCAAGGATTCTCTTGCAATCTGACTTCTCCCTAGGTTAGGCCAATGGGAGGTAGTGATAGCAAAGTAAAGACTAAGAAGGCACAGGAGAGAAATATTGGGTCTTTACTCTCTTAGACCATCCTCCCTGACAATCTCCCTAAGTTTTTAACATCGTCTATTCCTTAGAGGGAACTCTAGTGGCCTAATGGGAAGAAGCTGTGCTATAATCCCAAAAGCACACAGTTCAAATTCACCAATTTCTCTGTGGGAGAAGCATAGGCAATCTCCTTCCATGCGGTTAACTGACTCTGAACCACCACCCCCCTGGTGAGTCAACTATGGGTCGGTTCTGACTTAACAGCACACAACAACAATACAGGAACACAATTCTTAGAAACCCTTTTCCTCACATGCAGTGTTTTTGTTATGTGCCGTGGAGTCAACGTCGACTCCGACAGGCCCCTGAACCACAGTTCTGAACCTTGTCCTACCCCAAGTCAAGTCCACGACCATCATCCTGTTCTCAAGCCCACTGTTACAGTCACTGCGTCCATCCGTCCCGGTGAGGGTCGTCTTCTTTTGTCTTAAGGCCCGGCTTTTCTTACCAACACGTATGAATCCTGAAATATGGTTGCGAGTATTGAAGGCACTTGGAAATTATTTAACCCAAACTGCTTGTTTAATTGGAAAAGTATCTGATGGATGTGCAAGTAGCTGTAGTTCGCTGTGGCCTCACAGTGTCATTATTTCATGCTGCATGAACATCTAGTCAGTCCTTTCTCTTAAACATTCTCATGTGCCAGATGCCAGCACTTAGTGCTAAGGCTGGCAGCCTGAAGAGACTTTAGGTTCATCTTCTTCCCTGAGTGCTGTCAGGTGCTATTCAGTTGATCAAACTCCTGCATTATCCTGCACCATTCTGACGATGACTGCCGTACATATGATCATCATTGCAACTGCTGTGGAAACCCCTATTATAGAGGATTTTCCTCTCGTTCACTGATCCTCTCCTCATCCAACCATACCGTCTTTGTTCAAGGGCTGGCACCCCTGATGGCATGGTCAGATAAGATAGTTATTTACATGAAAGCTTGTTAGAAGCAAGGAAAGGACTCGCAGAAACCATGAAAAACAGCATTCTGTAACATAATTAGTAATTTTATTTGAGTTTCCTAATTGCTAGTTCAGTCTATTTGTCTATTTTCCTAGACATTTATTTTTCTGCTTCCTTCCCCAGTTCAGAATCATGCATGATTAAAACAGTGGAAGAAACTTCCAGGTAAGTGTGTAAGGGTATTTAGTTAAGAAAACACTGAATTTTTAACAAGGAAGCACAAGATTATACGATTAAAAATAACATAATAAACAACATCTCTACCCACTGCCATTGAGTTCACTCAGACTCACGGAGACCTTGTAAGGCAGAGTAAATGGTTCCCAGTGGATTTCTGAAGCTGTAACTCTTTACCAGAGAACATAGGGCATCATCTCTCTACTACCACGCCTATGGCGGCCTTGACTTCCGGTTAGCAACACAACTGTCAACAAGCGTGGCGAAAAGAACGAAATTTTGTCCTGAAACCTTAGCAAGATGATATATTCAGAGTTTAACTGTTATCTTTACATTCACACTAATGTGTAAATCCCTAAATTTTCCTTTTACATTTTAATTATTTAAAACATGTAGTGGCTTGCAATTTTAAGTCCATTATTATCATTTAAAATGCACCTTTTTAGAAGATACAATGAGATTTATATAAAGAGGAAGAAATGTACCATCTCTTAGTGACCATATCAACTAGTGGGGGAGACTGGAAATATGCATGAGAACAGTAATTGTTTTTTTTTTTTAATCTATACTTAAAGTAGCTTATGAATAAATCCAAATGAAATCTCATACACTGTAGACAGTTAGAGTCCAGGATCATAAAATAAGGCTGACAAAAAAAATCTATATAATTATTTTGGGAGATTTGTTCTCATCTTGAAGACAAGAGATGTCACTAAAGGTAATTCATTGAAAAAGTCACATGCTCTATACATATTTATTGAATTTTATGACTAGATCTTCAAAGATCTCCAGCCTTTACATTTCCTCTTACTCCTCATAT